CCCTGCCAACCTCTGGGTAACCCTTTTCCCCCCACTCCTTATCTACTACAAGAAGATTTATTTAACCAAGATCCTAAAACAGCTTGTTTGGATGTTGTGGGATTTGGATGTAAAAAGCAAACAGAACCCATTATTTACTGACTATGCTGGATACAGTATATGAATGCCCTTTCAATTTCTGACATACTCCACAAGCTTGAGCTATTGCTGACAAGTGGACAAATGGAAGAGTAAAGGAATGTTTAACCCTCTGGGGTAGAGGTCTACACGGGGGACCCGACCCGGGATCCATACGGGTTCGGGGCTATATTTTAAATGGTCAGCCGGTTCCGGGTCGGGTCCCAATCTATTACTTCGGGTCCCAGGTCTGTTTAACAATGTGTGTAATACCCGAGTCGATCAGACTCGGAGAACACCCGGCCGTTATCAGAGTCAGTCAGCGCTGTGCGTGTGTTGTTTTGTAACTTTCAACTTGTAAAATTAGGTGGGGCCCTGGAGAAGTTTTGACATGCCCTGACATTTATGCTTTTTCAGTTGCTTATAAACATATAAATGGCTAATAATAAATGGCTGATAACACTGCAATCTGCACAAACTGGGCTACAATAATATGTGAGCAGCATGTATGTACATGATTGTGTTTTTGAGAAAGCAATGTTTATGCGTGGTTAGTGAAAAACGAAAAAACTTAAATCACTTGAATAAGGCCATAAAACACATACAGAACATTTGTTCACAAGACTTTTGAAAACTGGATCTTGTAGACTAGCGTTTTTGCTTCAAAATGATGTGAAAATTATCCTGTTCACTCATTCACAGAAAACAATAAATTCATTTAAATTTAAGTCACTTTTTGTATAGAAGGCCTGTATGCGAGGAGGCGTGAATGATCATGCATAATAGCAGAGGTGGACAAAGTACACAACTCTATTACTTGAGTGAAAGTACAGATACTGCTGGTCAAATATTACTCCATTACAAGTGAAAGTTGTAAAGACAGAGTAAAAGTACAGAAGTACTTGCTTTTAAAAGTACTTAAGTACCAAAAGTAAATTTCCTTTTTTATGTCAATGTTTTATTATTGTTGTATGTAATACTTGCAATACTTAATAGTATACTTAATTTAACTGTATATAAAAATACACCTTGCTACGTGTAGTACAATACTCAAGTAAATGTACTTAGTTACTGTCCGCCTCTGAATAATAGTGTGATTCACACCTGAGAAGACAAAGGCCCACATAATGAGCTGCATAATGAGCCTTTCAGTCAGGTGTGTGACAGAGGGATTTGCTACAAGAACACTGTTTAATGTTTTAAAACACTTACTGTGCAATAGAAGTGGGGCTGATACTTCACCGATACTGATGTTTCCTTTCACATAATCATGCTATGAGAACTTTTGGTTAACATTCAATATTATTATTCAGAATTATTACAATGTAATTTTCACGTTTTCTTACAAATAAGAAAATGATCGAAAATAATACAGTCATTAACATTAAGCATTTGCACTAAGAATTTGGCCATAAAATTTCACCCACATCATAGTGAATGTCCTGATTGAGACCTCTGAATTATATGTTGATAATTATTACTTAATTATTATGTTGATAGCTTATGCAATAATCAAAACAGCTAAAACTAAATACTGTAAACAAATGGTTCACTAACCATTCAGAGTAGTACTGATTACTGTAGGTGTGTATCACGCACAGAAAACAATGTACTGATAGACTTGGGGAAGCTATTAGACATTGTATACATTAGGTCTCTGGACTCAAGTAATTAAAATGTGTCTAAGTTAGTTTTTAGTTTTGTAATATGTATATATATATATATATATATATATATATATGAATACTTAATGTGACTGTAAGCTTTTAAATTGTGCTGAGAAACAAATTATTGCCTTAGGCCTCATGCAAGACTAAAAAAAGAGAAGTATGTTAAGGAAACATCTTAAACACTGAATGTGAAAATGAAAAGATAAATGCTTTTTGAAGTCAACACCCCCTGTGACTGATATAAATAAGGCATTCATTCAGAAGAGCACTGCATTCATAAAGAAAACTTCTGGTGATCATGGAGTCAAGAGCATCGTGTCTGCTGATGATCTGCTGTTTTATCAATGTTAGCAACCTTCATCCACTCATTCGTCCCAGTAATGGACTTGGCAAATGTCGGAAAAATTCAAGTTTGACAGCGCTGGAGGTTCTACCAGGAGGAGGCTGGGATAACCTGCGCAACATAGACATGGGCCGGGTGATGAATCTGAGCTATTCCCAGTGTCAGACCACAGAAGATGGTGTCTATCTCATTCCAGATGAAGTCTTTGTCATTCCACAGAAAGTGAGCGGAGTGGAAACAAACTCTGAGATCATCACGTCATGGCTGAACCAGACAAGCTCCACATCAAGCTCCATCAATGCAGATGTTTCCTTCCTCTCTGTGCTCAATGGAAAATACTCAGAAGAAAACCGACGTATGAAAACTCACCAAGTGAAAGATAATTCTGTAACATCACGGGTTCAAGTAGGTTAAAACCATATTGCATATTTTCCAGTTATTCACCTAAATTTTTTTAGGTCATGAAATACATGAAATGATATATTTATTGCATATATCTATATATATACAGTCATGGTCAGAATGATTGGTACCTTTAGTAAACATGAACAATGAAATCTGTGAAAATAAATCCTTTTGATCCTTTATTTTAAAAATGTACAAAAAAAATTATCTGTAAAATTAAATTTTAAAATGGGGTAAAATCTGAATCTTTTCTCTAATGCCTGATGAGTTTGGAGAACACCCGACAAGACATCAGAGACCATTCTTTTATAGAGAATCTCTCCAGATCTTTCAGATTCCAAGGTCCATGTTGGTGCCTTGGTGACAGTCATTTTCTATAGGGTTCGGGTCAGGGAACTGGAACGGCCATGGAAAAAGCTTCATTTTGTGCTCAGTGACACATTTTTGTGTTGATTTTGATGTTTGCTTTGGATCATTGTCCTGATGGAAGATCCAACCACAGCCTATTATAAGATTTCTAATAGAGGCAGTCAAGTTTAGCTTTTTTATCTGTTGGTATTTGATAGAATCCATGATGCCATGTATCTGAAGATGTATGTCCAGGACCTCCAGCAGAAAAATAGGCACACAACATTAAAGATAAAGCAATATATTTAATTATACACATGGGGTACATTTTACCCTATGTGTTTTACTTTTCTGAGGCTTTCTGACCCCAAGATTCAACTATTTCTGCAATTCTCCAGCTGTTATCCTTGAAGAGTATTTGACCACTCAAACCATCCATATCACCTTGCTTTAAGACAATATAGACACACAGGCAGATTTGTAACATTTTCTGTTGATTGGAATGGGGATTTTCAATGTTTTAGCTCTTTTCTTACAGCTACTTTCAAATTTGTGAAGGTCAACAATATTTTGCTGCACATCAGAACTATATTCTTTTGTTTTTCTCATTGTGATGAATGATTAATCGAATTTGGCCTTTGTGTTCCCTTATATTTATACTCCTGTGAGCCATAGCTGGATGTTCGTATTCATGTTCGTAGTCACCCTGGTGTGGTACAAAAATACAAATGCGAATGGGAATATACTCTGGGGATATTTTTCTCATAAGAATTTCTAGGGGTACCAACTTCTTTGATCATATTTACCAAGGGTACCAATAATTCTGACCACAACTGTATATACAAACAAGAGAGAGCTTTTAAGCACTCTGCTCTGTAACTTTGCTCATTTTCTGTATATAACCCACTCATAATTTGAATATTTTTCATTTTTCATGCTGATAAGTACACACGGTAAAAGTTGCGAGAGTGATGATTAAAATGCGGGACTGAATCTGAAATTCCTGTTTGACATTAGGTTAGGTTAGGTTACTTTATTCATACCCGCAGGTAAATTTGTCTTGCAGTAAAATGACAGTGACATCCATCCATAACACAAATTCATAAAACACATTTAAAAATATAACACAACAGATAACAAAAATATGATACAAGATACATGATATAAATTCTCCAAGACTCCCCCATCCTACAGCTTATTTAACACAGTTAAAACAGCGGGAACAAAGCTGTTTTTATATCGCTTTGTTTTACACCTTGGGATTAAAAACCTCCGCCCAGAGGGAAGAAGCTGAAACTCACTGTGCAAAGGGTGGGAGTCATCATTTAAAATAGAAGTAGACATTCGTTGCAACTGTCTGGTATACAACGATGTTGGATCCAACTGTGACTCACCCACCAATCGACTAGACCATTTATCTATCTGGTTTAAAGAATTTCTTGCTTTTAAAGATGTTTGACCAAACCATACAACCAGAGAAACCCAGAAGGTCACACATTTGAGCTTCAGTGTTTATTAATTGTTCAGTTAAAATTAAAATACATTGTTTAATAAAATAGAAATTTAAAAACATGTTAGAACAGTTCTGGATTATTTTATTATTATTATTATTATTATTATGAATATTCAATAATTTTGTGGCTTTTTTATATTGTAATCAATTTGATGATGCTCTATTCATAAAGTATTTATATAGCACATAATATTTAATATTATAATATTAAATATTATAATATTATATTATAAATATGATAATAAATATAATATATTGCTGAAAAGTTTTGAGTGTCTGTTTAAGAGAAACATGGTTAAAATCGCCAAGAACAAAGTTAGGTGCATCCGGTGAGATCGACTGCAATCTCTGTACTACATCAAATATAGTGATAACCAAAGCAATGGGTGTGACAAAAAAAATCTGATGTCAAATCTGTGTAGTAAGTCTTGCAGTACAACAAGTCTTGCAGCACTTGTTTTATCTGTAATGTGTTTCTCTGTTATTTTATTACTTTCATTTGATCTTCTTAGTTCAGTGTTTACATAATTTAAGAATATTTGAAGGCTGCATGCTAATGTTTGAACTAATTATTTAAAAAACAAAAATCAGGGTTCCTCGAAGGTGAGTTTGATTAGGGTTTGACCTAAACTTTGCAGGGCAGTGGCCCTCTAGTTCCAGATTTGAGTAACCCTGACACAAATTTATATTTATGCATTTTATTTGTAATTATTAACAGCATTAACTATTAACTAATTGTATTTATTTTATTTGTTATTTTTATTTTCAAATTGATTGGTAAAGAGAACTTTTAATTTTACTTAACATCTTTTACTTTACTACATTCAGATAAAAAAAAAAGTATTTTCTTCTCTTGGTTATTTTTCTCAGGTCCGTAACCATCTGTATACAGTAAAGGCGTATCCTGACTTCACTCTGGACTCCCGCTTTGCTCAACAGGCAGTGGAAATTGCAGATGCCATCGAAAACAATCAAACTCGTCAAGCAACATATCTGTCAGAGAAACTCATTCTTGATTATGGCACCCATGTCATCACAAGTGTTGATGCTGGTGCCACTTCGGTGCAAGAGGACTATTTAAAAAAGTCTTTTGTGTCCAGCAGTCAGTCAGACATGTCTTCTATTTCTGCATCAGCAGGACTTAACTTCTTTGACAAACTTAAATTTGATATTAGCAGCAAAGAATCTCAAGAAAGCTCTGAAATCCGGGGGTATCAGAGTAATGTTGCATATTCTTTAATGCAGAGCCATGGAGGAGCTTTATTCTACCCAGGCATCACTCTGCAGAAGTGGGAAGAGAGTACACTCAATAATCTGGTGGCTATTGACCGCTCTGGGCTACCGATTCACTATTTTCTGAATCCAACTACATTCCCAGACCTCCCAGTACCAACAGTAAATAAAATGGCTTCATCAGTTCGTCAGGCTGCAGAGCAATACTATGAAGTAAACAAACGTCCAGGGTGCGTTAATCCAGATTCCCAAAATTTTAACTTCCAGGCAAACATAGATGATGCTTCCTGTGAGGGTCCAATCACCAATCTTAGCTTTGGTGGCATTTACCAAACATGCGTTTCATTGAAATTAGATGGAAATGTAATCTGTGGTGAAACAGCACAGAAAAACCCAGCTACTGGTGATTATTCTTGCCCTCCATATTACTATCCCACTTTATTACACTCTGAAATAGTACAACAAGGTTATAATATTCATGAATGCTATACATATTCTGAAGATTGTGGTTTCCTTGATTTGTCTTCTTGTGAGCAAATAACATGTAATGATTTTTACCATGTCCGTCAAGCAAAAGTGGACACCTACTGGTGTTCTGCAACTCAGAAAATCCCTGAATACTCTGGCTACCTCTTTGGAGGTCTATACGGACCATCTTTACAAAACCCACTGACCAAATCCAACAGCTGTCCTCCAAACTACTTTGCTCAAAAGTTCTTGTCTAATGGCATGATGGTTTGTATGAGCAATGATTATGAGGCCGGAACAAGATTCTCTGTGCCTTTTGCTGGTTTCTTCAGCTGCCAATCTGGCAACCCTCTTGCAAAGGGTCAAAATCGCTGTCCACCTCAGTTCAGCCAACATCTTGCTGCCATTAGTGATGGCTGTCAGATATTGTACTGTGTCCAGTCCGGTGTGTTCACTGGTGGTCAGTTAAAACCTGTCCACCTCCCACCATTCACAAGCCCACCGCTGGTTGGCATGATTGCAACAAACACTGTAGCTGTAATGACAGAAGGTGATCGTTTTTGGGTGAGAGTTGGAGAAACAAAGATGTGGAGACTGGCAAAGCCTGGTGAGCTCAACCGAAAGAAAATGGCATCAGTGTTTGACACACCATCTTCACAGATGTCTGGAGGAGAAAAGGCTGGTGTAGCTGTCGGTGTAATCGTTCTGGTTGCTCTTGTGGTTGCAGGAACAGTGTTTTTAATGAAAAAAAGGGGATCTTCTGGCCTCAGAGTAAGCAGAGGGTATCAGGAGCTTTAGAATGAGGCCAGAATTAGTTAGTTGGCGTAGATTGAACATAACAGAACAGTAAGGGGGAGATGAATTAAAACACCATTAGCATAATAATCTTTTCTAAATATTGTTTTCTACTTATTTGTTTACCCTTAAAGGGGTCATTGAATGCCCATTTTACACAAGTTGATATGATTCTTTAGGGTCTTAATGAAAAGTCTATAACATACTTTGGTTAAAATTTCTCAATGGTAGTGTAAAACAACACAGTTTTTACCCTGTCAAAAAGAGCTCTGTTCACAGCGACCCATTTCGGTGCATGTCTCTTTAAATGCTAATGAGCTCTGCTCACCCCGCCCCTCTCTTCCGTGGGGTGACGAGATGTTCTCTCTGAGACTGTAAACTTTAGCCGCAGAACTTGCTAACTAGCCCATTATTAGGAACGGCGATTTGCAAAGATTCATAAAAAACCTTATACTCACTTCTTCTGTAGGTGAAGCTATATCATGACTGATTCGTGCAAACATAGATGCATTTAAGTAGATCTGGGGGTGCATTCCCTTCAAAAAAAAAAGTAATCTTCAATGGCTCAGAAGTCGGGAGTAAATGACGACTGCTATGTTCATTATTACATCCAACAACAAAACACCTCAGTCGCTTAGGAGCCATTCTTGTCAACTCCTGCTCTGGCTTCGAAACAATGGTGGACCGATGACGGGTCTGTGCTAAAACGGCAATGTCAGTCAACAATCGTGGGAGTGGCCTGGGTCTGTGTGAACACAGCCAAGAATCTGAGAATGGCTTGATCTGAAAAAGGGGTTATGATTTTGGGGGATTAAAAAAAAAAACACTGGGTGATTTTATCATTATAGGGTGGTTGTGTACAGACACTGCCAACACACATTTATGTTCAAACGCCATGTAAAAGTGAATTTGGCATCCAATGACCCTTTAAAGAAGTATAGTTGTGATCCATGTTTCTAATCAGCTGAATTATAATCTAAATAAACACTCAGTAATAATTCATTGTCATGATTATTGTTTTATTATTTGATGGTAGTAATAACATTTAATTTATTAATAAAATCAGTTAACCAGAACTGAACTGGTCTGAGTTACTGCAATGTATATGAAAATTCTTAATATTAAATAAATGATTATTGCTGCTTTTTATGATCTCTTTTTTAACTTCCAGTTTTTGTTTTGTTTTTAATTAAAATAAACACAGTTGCATGTTAAATGTTAAAAGCACAAGAGTAAAGATGGGTTTTTAACAGTTTTAAACTCAGACACCGTCATGTAGTAATGGATCAGCAGTGTTGGGAAGGTTACTTTGGAAATCTAATAGGTTACATATTACAAGTTACCCTATTTAAAGGGGTCATATGATGCGATTTCAAGTTTTCCTTTCTCTTTGGAGTGTTACAAAAGTGTAACTACTTCAATTAGATTTTTAAAGTAATATAACTGTTTACATTTCATTACTTTTTGATTAGGCCTACATTTCTAAATTTCTAACGAATGTTTTCAACTGTCAAACATTTAAACCAGGCAGGGTAAACTCAACACTGATTACTGTCAGACCTTCAAAATCCTTCATCACTTGAAGTCTGGACTCTTGTTGTTAAAGTGTTTCTTGTGTGTTTTGTAGTCAGTTTGTAGTCCGTATGTTCATTGGTACCCCTTGATTAGTCTCCCCAGGTGTATTGTGTTATCTTGTTAAGCTTGTTACTTGTTCCCCCGGTTTCACAGACAAGGCTTAAACCTAGTCCCAGACTAATATGTAAGTCTGAGCTGTTTCAGCTGAAAGAAACTTGCACTGATTGATCTTAAAATATATCAATGCCTTTTTTTGTCTCAGGATGGACACCAGTAATGTTTTTTTCTAAGGCACGTTTATAAAAATTACTTAAATGTCCTAATTGAAATATGTGCTAAACCTGACTAAAGCTGGGCTCACACTGTGTAATTTTTTAAAAGTCCTTTAGGATTGTACTTGTCAGACTGTACGAACATGATGATCATGTCACACTGTGGGATCTCAGTTGTCATTAATGTCAGACTGTACGACAGTCAAGACACGTTAAAAACGGGTGCGTGCAAGAAAACTTGTCCGGAGTTTTACCTTATCAACCCATACACGTTCAGTGACTGCGAGCTGCATTGCACGCGGGGCTGTAATGTTGGCTATCATTAAAAGTATATGAATGGCGGCAATACCGGCGTATTTAAGAAGAATGTAAGTGTAAGCAGCACTACACACCCACATGAAACAGCAGCGCAACCGGTGTTTATCATAGCAGAGGCAACGTATCCGTGAGCGGAGGACGAGAGCACCGGAGTTTATGCGGTTAGAAGAAATCTAATCTCTACCATTAATTCTGATCATGGCTTGTCTTGAAAAACGAAGACAGTTTGACGTTCGTCGTAGGAGAAGTCACACTGCAGGACTGTGCGCCAAATCTTCTGACACTGGTAAAATTTGATTGCAACGGCCATTAATCGGCTGTCGGTGAACATGTCAAACTAATGATCAAAGACTACATATTTTAGCCTAGGATTATAGGAATATTTTAGGATTTTCAAAATTAGTCTCAGAAAACCAAATCGTAGCCAAAATCATACAGTTTGAGCCGGGCTTTAGTCTAAGCCCTGTTTGTGAAACCAGGCTCTTGTGTGTTTATTCCCGTGTTTCCATTGTTCACTTGTCAGTCATTGTCTTTGCTTGGATGTTGCTTTGGTTGTGTTTACTTTGTTCTCCCCATGTTTAGATTACCCCTTGTTTTATTAATAAACTACACTGCCTGCACTTGGATCCTGCCTCTCCTCTTCCCTGCATCGACTGCAACTTGGGAAAGAAATCAGTGAAATCTGTATGTGTGACTGTGTGTGTCTGCTCTTCATTTACCAAAAATCAAACTGGACAATAAAGCAACAGATAAAGTAGCCCACACCACACATCAGTCATGAGATTTTTACATTTCCAGCACTGGAATGCATTTTTATCACTCGCCATGGTGGCAACTCTCAGACAGGTTATGTAATACCGTTACATGTAACTAGTTACTCCTCAACACTGTGGATCAGTAACTAATGTAAAGAACGTTGCATAGGTGTGATCCCATTTGCGACTGCCCATGAGCAAACGAGCAGCCACATTTTGGGCTAGCTGAAGTCGATGAATAAAAAAAAAGGCATCCCATAATACAGTGAGTTACAATAATCAAGTTGAGTTGTAATGAAGGTGTGAATTACAATTTCAAAACTATTCTTGCTTAGGAAAGCAATTGCCAATTGTCAAAGGCGATAAAAGCTAAAACCAACAGTGGTATTAATTGTTTGTCACGCTTTAGGCCACTATCTTCAATAAAACCCATATCCTTGGTATATGAAAAACAATATGGAGTAAGGGCGTACTCACACTAGGCATGGTTGCCTTGTACCAAGCCCGAGCATGATTCTCCCCCCTCCCCATTCAACCCACTGGCCTGCACTCACATTGCATATCAGTGCAATGTAACGCTGGCCTGCACTCAAACAGCACTTAAAGTTTTTGATTTGAAAATAGGAAGAAAAGAATTTTTGCTAATAGAACGTCTAATAGATTAATCACTTATGTAGTCCAGCGATTTTCATTGTTTTAATTGTGTTGCAAGTATCAGAACATAACTACAGAGGCAGAGGACACTGATGCAGGAATTTACAGCTTTACTCGCACACTACAATTATTGTTCATCAATAAGGTGAGAACCATATCCGTTATAAACCTAAGCATGCCCAAATGTATTGAAAAATGCAATATCCAAATACAGTAATGAAGATGTTTGTTATCATAATGTAGCGAATCAGCTCATAGGGAAATATGAATAATTAATCATAACTAGTTATAATTAATTATAAATATTTAGATCCGCTGTAGATATTTACTTGACCTCTCAGGGTCAACTGTCTGTCAATTCTAAGAACGTTAATTTCCTGGTTAAAGGAAATAACTTTCTTACTGTACAACTCTACACAGAGCTTGTAGCATAAATCTGCATGATTAAGTGACTCCAGTTACAAAAATAAACAATGAACAACGTCGAGTGTGATACAAGTAAGACTTTATTAAATACATAAACACTTAAACTAGTCTAACACACTTAATGATGACACTAGAGCACACAAAAGTAGTAGCTGTCAACAAACTAGACTTTGGGGGTCAAGAGTGTTCAGGCATGGTTCAGATCTCCTAGTGTGAGTACAAGTCAACAGTACTCAGCTCTTTCTCATTTGACCCAAACAAAATGATTTGTGTTTTGTCATCATTTAGGTGCAGAAGAAATTTTCAAATCTTGGAGACAGGCTATTCATTGTTTTATGGTGGACTTGCCATTGTGTTTTTATGGTATAGTTGGGTATCGTCAGCATAGCAGTGATTAGACCAAATATCCTAAAAATTTAACCAATAGGTAACATGTACAATGAGAACAATACTGTTGCCAAAATCAAGAGAGAAGAGAAGAGAAGAGGAATGCTTACCAAGACTTACTGAGAATCTCAAAAGTGCAATGCCTCACCAATGTAGTGCTCTAAGCGATAAGACGCAAGCTTATTCTACAAAAATTTTAACCTTATTAATTATGCTAATTATTAAAAAGTAGATTAGCACCCCCAAGACTACACACTTTGAAAAACAGCTTTTTCTGACAAACCCCTTTCAGGTCTTGGATTCTCTATTAATAAGCTAATGTCCTGAGTCAAGGCATGTCCAAACCCAATGATCATACCACAGATTTCTTCCTTTGATTGATATTTGTAGGCTGCATAGTTGTATCCTTCATATCCATCTTATGTGTTAGATTTCAGGACAGTTTAGCTAAAAAATTAAAATGCCATCTGAAGGTTGCAGTTGGTGGTCAGTTTGTATGTAAATGCATGTTTTTGACCAACTTTTTCATGCATTTTTATGTTGTTTTATGGTTAATTATTTTGTCATAGGAGTCAGTCCAAAATTGGCTTAATTCATGTGCAAACACTGCCTATGCCTGAGTAAGCTTTCGGACGTAGACAAAATGTGCGGCGTTGGGGGTGT